ATATGTTGTATGTGTTTGTTAAGTGTTTTGCCTGTTTCTTAAATTTTGTGAATATTTAGCATATTTTTAGTAGAAGGGGAAAATGTATAGAATGTTGTTATAAAGCAGCTGAGAGGGTGTGGATTTTTTTACCATGTTTCAGTTAGATGCTGATCTGCATCTTGGCTTTGTATTTTCAAAGGGCTGTTAGGAGGCACTCAGCTGCAACTAACATTCAGCAACACAAATTCAACCACAATGAATTACAACTGAAGATGAAAGCTGGGCTCTAAGAGACTCTGTAGAATGTATTCTGAAATCTGAGCGTTTACAGAGATCTCAAACACTGCAGAGTGATCGCCTCTCCCAGAACCTAGCCTGTGTTGAGTTTAGCTGCTTTGTTTTTCCCAGACTGCGAGGTGCTTTGCAAAGTTATTGCACAGATGGTAACTCCGTTCTGAAGCAAGAGAGACCCACACCGCTGTTGGTGTAAGAGGCACTGTGGGAAATAACAAATTCTTTGTAGAATAGAAAAGTAAAAATCATGGTGGCTTTGAGTGTCTGTGATCCCATAGTGTATTTCCAACTGTGTTTAGCTCTTGCAAATTGTCATTTGATTGATTGCCTCCAGCTTACTTCAAGTTCCCTCTGAGTTTCAGTTGCGATAATGCTTTCTCTTTCCTCCCCTAACTACTTTGTGCTGCTGCTGTGTGTTGTCGTGTAATATCTCAGATGAGTATCTCATCACAAATTATGAAATGTTGGCAACATATGTCAGTAGGATATGGAAGCTGCCCTTGAATGGGTATTTTCAAACAAACTGAAAATGTATGAAATGTAGAGATAAAATCATAATGGGGACAGACCATTGATTAGTGTAAATCTGCTTACAATTGCTGACGTAAATGGGAAAGTGTTGATTTACATCAGCTTGCGAATGTGGCTGGTGAAATTAAAGAAAAATAAAGGCTTTAGGGGGCTGGTGGTGCTGGTATCTTAATGTAAACACAAACTTTTCACCCAAGACCACACTGTTGTTAATATGTAACTCTGCAGTGCCAGAGGGGTCAGGCTATTCCAGACACTGCAACACTGTGGTACCTCCTACAAGCAAAATAAGAGCCAAACCATGTATTCTTTAATGAAACTCTGGATCAGGTCTTCCTCTGGGGTGGTTTGGCATAACTCTGTATACTTCAAAGGAACTAGATTGATTTACGGTGGCTGAGCACTTGGTCTTTAGTTAATGTATACTTTTGTATATTGAAATGATGTGGCTTGCTTTTCATAACCATAAGTAGTTTAACATTTGTCAGACAGAAGTTGTTCTAAACTGTGAGGTAGTAACTTGAAGACAGTACAGTCAGGTTAATTAGAAGAATGATGTATAGGGTGGGGTTTTTTTGGTTTTGGGTTTTTTAAAAAGGTGGCTTCAGAGCAGGCTAGGGTTGCTTGTGCTGGATTTTGCACTGCTGTACTTGGAGAGCTTGATACACTATGCTGTAGCCAGAACATACATCAGGCATCTGTAAGTTATCTCTTGTGCGTTGTGTAATACTCTATTATACTATATTGTAGTTGCTTGCCAGTTTCAAAATTAGTGGTGTTGTACACAGCTCATTTGCAGCACCCTTGTGCAGGCACTTCCCTCTGTTTTTTTAAATTTTCTTATCACTTATATATTTATTTTCTCCTTTCCTCTCTCTCATTTGCAGCATCAGAATTTCCCTGTGTCCTGGATGAATATAAAGCGATTATCTTTCTTTTTGTCCCTGAAGCAGATCAGGTGTAAAATGTGCCTTCAGTAGGCAAGCAGTCCCAAAGATGTTAGTTATCCCTCCTCTTCCAGACAAACAGCAATAGCCTAAACATCTGCCTAAGAGCATGTGGTCCCCAAGAAAAGGTGCCGTATGCTTGCCCCCACTGTTCATGTCAGATGTGGCAAAAGACTCTGCAGAGAGTCCTGTGCCACTGTGGTCCGGTGTCTGATTAATTTAGCCTGGGCTACTCTGTTCCATGCCCTCAGAAACGGAGGTCTTGGTCTATGCACTGTGCTAAATACTTGTGGGTGTTTTAATAGTGTAATAGTCATCTTAGTGTTTCCATGCACTGATTTTTGTGGTGTAACATTAGCAAATGTAATATTGCACTAAGGTATTCTCTTCACCTTTTAATATAGGAGGTACATTTGGTTGAAACATGCTTAGCAAAACAATGGAAGATTGTATTTTCTTCTGTTTTAGGTCATGTTTAGGTAGAAAAGACAGATACTAAATCTCTGCCCAAGCTGGTCCCATCTTACAGTCCCCTGCAGCTTGCTTGTTTAAGAATAAGGCTGACTTGTTATGCCACAGAAGGCTGCCAGAAATATTAACGACTCTTGGAGAGAATAACCCAAAAGACAGACTTGCAGGCTGATGCCACAGTATCTGTTATTGGCAGAAATACAATCGTTCGAATAATAAATGAGCTCTTAACATCTGTCAGGTTGCTTGTGTTCTCAGGGGCCTGGTGATAGGGCTGCATACAATAACATGATGGCCTTCTGAGGAGCCTACATCAAAATTAATGGTTTCATCAGCTTGCAAGAACAACTAAATAATTGGGCACACCTGGGACTATCCTAAAGGACTCCTTTATGCTTAGCGAATGCTTTCTAACTAGTTCCAGTAAAGTGTGGATCACTGAAACCTGAATGTTGCAGACTGGATCAGAGAACGTTGAAGGACTATTTGGAGTGTGTGAGAGCTTGAGCATACGTATCAACAGCATAACAGCAACTGGCTGACAGCAGCAATAGAAATTTTTTCAGATACTGCAGTTTAAGGTGTGTTTTCTTTTTCTTCCTAGAGACTCGGTAAATTTTCATTTCAAATTTTGGTGACATAAATGACCAGTTAAGCTCTGAAAAATGTGCTTTAAATGTTTCTGCAACAATGGCTGAGCTCCTCAATTATTTGGCAGACTCCAAAAATTTCTTTGCCTCTGCCAATGAGCTTTACAATAAAAACCTCTTACTCTCTTTCCAAGCCTGTAGTAGTAGGTGTGAATGTTTCACCTGATTCAGAGTAGCTGGAATTAACAGCAAGTCTGTTAATTTCAATTACCTTAGGCATTAAGGCATAGCTTGTGTACAGTCTAGTACAAAATTGCTCTAGCCTCTCTAGAAACCAGATCTTAAGGAGTAAATATACTGCCTGGTAAATTGCTTGTGTAAAGGCAAGGTCCCCAGCCATTCCAGGAGCCTGCTTCCTAGTCTGGTCCACAAGCACTGCTGGCACAATGTGGCAGTAACATCTCCCTTCCTGTCTCTCCTCTTCTAGAAGTCTCTGGCAAAAAATATCCCTTTGCAGTGAGCTTCAGATCACCATGGCCCTACTGCTGCTGATTGCTTCTGTTCAGTCACTTTGCTGTGCAAAGGCTAATTCTGCCTTCCTCTGTCCATGACCAGTGTAGGCTTTCATGTCTTCTGAGTCTCAGAAAATGGAAGATTGGGAGGGCTATGCTGCTCACAAGGGGCTTTGAAAAAGGCAAGAAGCTGAAGTGAGTTGAATTTGGAATAGATATGCTTCTTTTTTAGCAGACATTGAGAACAGATTTTGTTCAACAAGCTTGCCTGTTGCTGTCTTTCACTTGAAGTGATTGCACATCAAGGAATGCCAGTTTTGCTTTTGTTTTGTTGGTTACTTTTTATCTAAGTGAGCTGTCTTGGCTCCAGAGTTTATGTGCTTGGTGCAGAACTTGCTGTGTGAAGTTCTTTGGGTTATGTGGGAAGTCAGATTTGATTTTTTTAATAATAATTTTTAGCCATTTTGGAATATCTAGTAGGTTAAGCACCTCTCTTACTTTTTTCATAATATACAAGAGAAAGGCCTGGAGAGCAGTCCTGTCAGTACTAAATGAATTTGTGAGAAAATCCAAGCAAAGACTTAAAGGACTGGAGCCCAGACCATTTTCCATAAATTAAATGAGAAGTATTGGTTAAGTTAGCACACAGTATGATAAAACTGCAACACATCACATCGTTAGAGTGCCTTACATAGTAACTGGAACATTGCCAGTTTAAATAAACTTTGTACATCTATTTGAAAGCATGGCTCTCTGCATGCTGGATATTTAATCCTTTAAGCTTTTATTGTCTTTTTCAGAAATGTAGCCAACTTTTTAATGCATGTACTATGAATTTTGAATGTTTATTTGGGTTTGACACCTTATTTTGATTTGCCAATTATGGAGAATTAAAAAAAATCTTCCTAATGATTTTGGAGTTTGGGTTTATTCCTTTTTTTTTTTTTTTTTTTTTTTAATTTGAAAGTGCGTTTATGAATGCAATAGGGAATCCTAGCTAGGTGCTGTTGCATAACTTTCTGTTCATTATAATGGCATTGATGTTGAGCCACCTGGTTGATCTCCATGCAGTGTCTCTTCAAAAGAGCACAGGGAATAATGCTGGGAATTAAGAAGACTATGTTTTATTCTGAGAGCTAAAAATCTGCAGTTCACCTCACTTTTGAGACATTGCCCTAAAATGAGCATAGTATTTGGCAACCTTTATAAATCACTGGTGGATTTGAATGTAAATACCTGTACAAGACCAGAAGTACTTATTAAATAATAGCAGAGAGACCTAGAAATGGCATTTATTGTAAAAAAGAGAAGATGGTTTAATTGCCTGGACCATGGTTATGAGCGGTAGAGACTAAGAAAGCAAGGACCGCATTTGGGAGTGTTGCTTTGGGTTTCTAGGAACAACAGCTCCATACAATTTTGACCTCTCAGTGGAAACCATACATTGTGCCATGCTGCACTGTGGTTTACTGTGCTGTGGTTGTTATTCAACATGTATATAAACTTGCAGCGGTAATTATGTATTCTCTGTAGAATATGGGATAAAACGCATGTTTTAAAAACAGGAACTTCCTTCTGCAGATACACTGGCTTCCTTGCTGGTGGTGGTGGTCAGGGCAAACTCTTTCCCAATATGAAGACTAAATAATTTCTAATTCTTTTTGTCCTTGTAGGTCAAGCCGGTTACTCACAGTAGAATCACTGTGTCAGCACGGTTTCGAAAACCGCTCCAGGAGCCCTACACTATTTTGTAAGTAGAATTTTCAGTTAGTGAACTGCCATTTTGCAGGCGAGGGGTAGTGGTGTCTTAACTTCAGGTGAGTTTTGTTTAAAATGCTCCTCCAAATTATTTTACTTTGCTTTATTTCAGCCTGATTGCTAACGGAGACCTTATTAGCCCTGTAGTGCGCCTCCTCATTCCCAGGAGAACACTGAATCACTGGGATCAGATTCTCGAAATGGTTACAGGAAAAGTTACCCTCAGAAGTGGAGCTGTTCACAGGTATCAAGAAGATGAATATTTGTAAGATACATTTGGTGTGCATAGATATGTTTTTAAAACTCCATAGGTAGATATAATGGATCATTCTTGCTTCATGGGAAATTCCACTATAAGAAAATTAAAATACATCAAAGAGCCACAAAATGGAAATACATTGACTCCAAGTAACCTTCAGGTTTCATTTAAACTGCTGTTTTAAAAAAGAAAAACCTCAATTTGTTTCAACCGTTATTTCTTGATTAAATTTTTAGTTAGCAGGCATAACATACAATAATAATACAATGTATTTAGAATTAATAATTAAGTTACATGTCAGAATAAAATAAATGAGCACAATAGAGTTGGGGAAGGTGTTTGGAATGTGCAATAATAGATGCAATCCACTACCTTTTAATTTTGATAATTTTGTAAATTCATTGGGGCAATGAAACGGAAACAATTTCAAGGAAAATATAGGTTCTTTGTTTTTTTAAGACCTGTGCTATGACTAGGAAGTGCTTTATACTCAGTCATCTCAGCCTCCTTTGGCCAAGGCCAAAGTTGCGGTTGGGGGTTTGCCAGTTCCAGTATCTCAGCTGGTCTGAGTTGTTGTGGTATCTCAGGAATAGGAGGTGACCTTTTGTATAGGTAAGTTTCAGTCTCCTAAGGCTTTTACAATGTAAAATAAGCTCTCTAAAATAGGATTTGGTAGTTGCAAGTTTTAGAGCAAAATGATATATGCAGTTTCCATGAGAAACATTGCAGTGTAAGCATGCCACCGAGGTGCAGACTGGCAAATTACTGACATTCCAGTGTTGCCCCATGCAGAGGACATTACTGAAATCTGTTCCTTACATGGGAAAGGGCCTTTTGTGGAAAATCATTCTTCACAGCTTATGCAATGTCTGAGGCTAAGCTTGCAAAATCTTTCTCAAATCAATGAAGATAAAATAGTCTTTCAGTTACTCTGATTGCTTTCCCAGAGCTGATAGAGACGATAAAAAATTAAGGTAATTCTATCTGTTGACTATTAGCTCTCATCTAATTTTTTGTCTCAGACCTGCATTTCTTTGCTCTTATTGTCTGTCTACCTAACACTTCTACTTGTAGTAAAGTAAACTTACACATGTGTTGCAGCTTTCTGGATCTGATTCTCAGCTAGTATAACTAGGAAGTGAGCGAAGTAACAGCCATTTACAATATAAGAATTCTTTTTGATCTCAGGTTGTTTAGCAATTTAAAAACCTTTCACATTTTTTTCTCATTACTTGGTGTCAGTCCTTTGTGAGACTGAATGATGTACACGAAAGCATAAATCATTCTGTACATAGCTAGGATTGCTTTTGAGAAGTTCCTTCTAGTGCCTAGTTTTCATGCTTTAAAAAATAAAATAATGTACATGACATTTTGAATTATTTAATGTTTTCCTTTTTCTGGTTTTCTATTAACCCAGTTTTCATTTTCTTTTCCTTAAAATGCTAGGAATACATACTAAATACGTTAGTAAAGTGATCGTTGTTCTTTAATAAGTTACACATTAATTGCTAGGGTTTACTGAAATTGTGTTAGCATTAGGGGAGGTCCTGTAAGACCACTGATGCTGGGAAGATATAATTTCTAATTAAAGAAGTGGAGTTACAAGAACCTGTATTATGTATAGGCTGTTTTTCTTTTCCATGTTATTAAAAGTCATACAAAGCTGCCAAGTCTTATGCAGTTTCACATGTGACTTTTTGAAAAACAGTTATTGATCATCCCCATCAGAACATGGATCTAAGTAAGAAATATGAGAGAGGAGACAATGAAAAAGAAGCTTTTCTGCTTGCCAGGTTGTGCATGGTGATGGGGTGCAGCAACCTGATGGGCAGGTACCTGGTGCATTGGCAACTGGGAATTTGGGGATATTGGTCCCCCAAGTTGTGTCTTTGCTGTATCCTTTGTCAGCCTGTATGCTTGCTTTGTTTTGGCTGCCACTTTTTGGCTTGGAATCAGAAGGGAAATGGAAGTCCACTGATATCCCACAGGACAAGCTCTAGGTCATCTCCCAATGACCAGAAGAAGTGACAACGAGGACATCTTTGTTGCCTAATACTAGCCAGAGAGAACCCGGCTAGTCTTTGAATGGTTGTGGCCAGGTGGGTGGGTAGAAGGCTTCAGAAGTGTGTGTCACAAAACTTGTGTGATACTTGTTAAGTCAATAGTTACTTACTTGTTTGACATTCCATTTTTTTAAAATGCATTTTCAATTTCACTTTAATCTTCAGTGACTGAATATGTTTGATTCGGTTATTACAGTTATTATTTTCAGGGTGAAAAATACAACCAGAGACTGCCAGATATTTGCCCATAACTTTTTGGGGAGTTATATTAAGCTTTTGTGCATTAAATATGATATTAAAACACAAGCAAAGTGAAAGACTGGGAACAAAAACTCGCAGTCATGTTTGTATGTACCACTATATACTTGCAGCACCATAAAAATATATAAGCAGTTCTTAAACTGTGGTACACTATTTGCTTTTTTTTCCCCTCAAGTTCCCCAAGCAAAATGTAATCTAGCAAAACACAGTGAGATTAATTCAGAAATAGACTTCTTGCTGATTTTTAGATTGCTTGTTTTCTTTTCATTATTTGTGTGTAACTGTTGTCATCTGTATGGTAGTGAAACATAAATTGATCTTTGAATTGCTGGCATGCCTGTGAAATATTTGCACTAAAAAGTAAATATAAGTAGTACAGAGGGCGTTCAGCATACCTCTTCGCAAGGAAGCAGCAATGTGATCAAGATTTTAAAAAGCTGCAATTTCACCTTTAAGAATGTCTAGTCTTTGCATTTACAAAATCAACGTACTTCTATATGGCAGGAGGCACCTAGAAAATCAAGGTACTTTCATGAGGGGAATCTGAGAAAGACATAGACACACTGGAGCAAGTGCAGCAAAGGGCCACAAAGTCTAAGAGCTTGAAGATATCTGTCACGTGGGGAGGGCTGGGAGAGTTGGGACTCCGCAGCCTGAGGAGTAGAAGACTTGGGGATCTTCTTAGTGTGTATTAATACCTGGTGGGAAGGAGTGAAGAAGTCGGAGCCTGGCTTTTCTCAGTGGTGTCCAGTGACACAACAAGAGGTGATGGGCACAAACTGAAATACGGGAAATTCCACTTGAACAGAAAGAAAAAATAAATTTACTCTAGGGGTCATCAGACACTGGAACAGGTTGCCTAAAGAGGTTGTGGAGTCTCCATCCTTGCAGTTTTCAAAACACACTTGGACACAGCCTCAAGCAACCTACTGTAGTTGCTCTTGATCTGCACGGGATGGTTGGACTAGGTGGTCTCCAGAGATGATGTCCAACCTCAGCTATTCTGTGATTCCTGGTTCTATAAGCTGCATCTTTTTTTTTCTGTGTCTATTCAAGGTTGTGTGACTGTATGTATGAACTTAAGAAGCAGTTTTGTCTCTATTAAACTGAAAATTTTTGCACTTTATTCAGTCAGGGGCGTTCTCGAGGAAGGCTTTTGATATTCTTCCGAAGAGGTTCATTGTATAGGTGTATATATAAATTTAGATCTCCTTTCATGTTGTTGAAATTTATGAATAACACATACAGTAGCTCCTGCAGAAGGCTTCTAGAGGGGCAATTAAGATGGCC